TCTTAGCCGACTCGCAAGCGTTCAGTAGGATGACGCAGTTTTCGAGGACAACTTGTGAAGATATGGTTGGAAATAACGTATGGTCGCATGCTGACCAAAGTTCGGATCCTAGCATGGGATACCCCAAGATCCTTAAAGCTGGTGAGTGCAGTGTCGAATTACTGCAATGGTGGACCACTTCGTTTTCATACAGGAGGTATGTCGTTCGATCCGCGGATGTTTCATTTTTTCAGATCCTGCGTACTATTATGACTACTGCGTCAAGGAGTTCGAAGAAGGGAAGCTGCAGTGGCAGTTGACTATGAGGCCGCTCGAATGCAGGAATTCCAAGTAGGCGCCGCGAAACCACCGAAAGGGTGGTTGTGGAAGTCGGGTTTTTTTATCAGTTTCGGTGGAAAATCGTCTGACTCATATGTGGTGCTACGAGGTGTACCACACGTTGCTTGGTATCTCTATGGCACGTACGACACTTTGGAAGACTGTCAAACTGATACCAATTTTGATGGAGATCTTTATTTCCAAGTTCAGTCGGACTGCAATTCGAGACAGGGAAGTAAGCTTTCACAAACAAAACTCTCCAATCCGGGAGGTCAGATGCCTCCAGAATGCCCGTGATAATTCCATCTAGGAAGTGTCTCGACTCGAAATATGAATTTCAGCATCATAGTCACCCATTGGTATACTTGAAAGGCATCGTTGATGGTTGATGAATTTCGGTGCCGTATCTAGTTGGCTTCGCGTCGGGAGTGAATGCGAAAGCGCGAAGTCGGTGCCAGTATCAGAGTGCTCACTTTCTTGTATGGAGAATTTCCAAAATGGTACACTCTCGTTTCAGGTTGGGCGTGTATGATTTTGGGCGCATGCACTGTCGAAGTGGAGGCCACGGGTTCATCAGGGTATCATTGGATTGCGTATTTGGTTATCACTCTTGTAGGCTGGGAAGAGGTCGGGAAGATTCAACTCGTATCTGCCGAATTTTTTAGGTTGCTTTAACGCTAGCAATATTCTTGGGCACGCGTGCATATATTGTTCGTCACGGATCTACTGCAGCAGGGGCTGCAGCCAAGGCTGAACCAATGGGCGTGGACGGTAGGTTTGTGCATGCGTGCAGAATTTCATATGATGAATGACTTAGGCGTGCTCATACTCTCCTCTGGCTCCCCAGACATCGAATCGCCATCTGTCGGAGATACGCAGAGGCTCTCCCC